TATGTTTATCCCACGTTGCTAATCCTTTTTCAGGTGAACGTCGAGATGGGTTTCAAGATCGAGGATCTTCTTTATATGTTGGCCATGGGGCCTTTTATTTGTCGGCAGAATGCCATTGATGTAAAACAGTTAAACCCTTTCTTTTATTTTAAAGATGTAAGCCTGCGGGCAATTTATTTAGTTATGTAAATGTTGCATTTTCGGATGAGAAAATCTTTATTTATTCTTATAAATGATGTAAAGAGTTTCCGCATGTTAGCTCTGAAATTGAATAAACTCAATGAATTTGGTAATGGATTTCAAGTAATAAAATGTGGGGCGTGAGAGGTCAATTATGGTAGCATTTCTTCACCTTATTTTATTTATTTTTATTTTTTTACTTAGTTCTTCCTTTTAGATATATGGTTAGATACAGGACCATTTTAAGAACATGGGTTAAAAGTCAAAAATTAATTTTTAACTTATTTTAAGTCACATTATTTATCACATAAAATAATAATAAAAATTTAAAAAGTCAAAAAATTAACTTCTAACTATTTTTTCAAATTATTCCATAGATACATCTTTTATAAAATATCTATGATGCCTTGACAGAGCTTTCATCCCATTTGTCCTTAATTCCCTGTGGAGCTTGTTAGAGCCTAACAAGCCTCCTCTTCCAATTCCCCATGTAGTAGTCAATTATTCTTGGGTTTCAGAGGTGAAGACACTCGCAAGACGTTCACTGACCACCTCTACACAGCTTTAAAGCATAGAGGATTTCGCACCTTTAGAGATGATGACGAGATTGAAAGAGGAGAAACTATTAAGTTTGAATTGCATAAAGCAATTCAAGAGTCGAGGATTTCAATAGTTGTCTTCTCAAAAAACTATGCTTCTTCGAGCTGGTGTCTTGATGAACTTGTAATGATCCTCAAACGTAGAAGGACTACTGGGCATGTAGTGCTACCTGTCTTCTATCACGTGGATCCATCCCATGTGAGGAACCAAATGGAAAGTTTCGAAGAAGCATTCACGAGGCATGAAGAGAGATTCCATACAGAAGGGGCTGAAAAAAAAGATGAATGGAAAGGCAAGATACAAGACTGGAGGGCAGCACTCAAAGAAGCTGCAGATTTAGCAGGGATGAGTTTACAAAATCAAGTTGATGGGTAATTTCCTCCTATGTCCTCTTTTAGCTAGGCATTATTTGCACCACCCTTTTTGGGATTTCATAATTAGAGCATTTCATACGAGGGTCTTTTAGATTAAGAATTATTTAATCGAAATTTGAGATGATTTTTTTTTTTTTTTTTAAATACAAGAGTTTGACATCTTTTAATTTTAGAGGTTAACCTTTAAATATAGGAGTTAAATTGTCCTCGAGGGAATATCCCAACATACTACAAGTCGATTTCTTTTCAAATTGGTATAGGTTCACAAGACAGTTCTTCGTAACACTCTAAAAAAACTCAAACTTATTAACTACGATATTTTGAGTATGCTTCTCCCTTTTAATCTATTTGAAAAGATGATAAGAAGTTATTCATTTGCAACCATAAAAATTTGGGTCAAGTACACCAAGACAGACCCCCTTAACTAGTAGTGTATATCACTTTACCCAATCTATGAATCTATACCTACTGACCCTCTTTAAGTGTATATCACTTTACCCAATCTATGAATCTGTACCTGCTGACCCTCTTTAAGTATAAAAATCATACCAATTTACTAATTCTAGAGGTGGTCTAGATGGTTGAAAATGATACACGTTTATAGTTGAAAGGGTCAAAAAGTATTGATTCATAGTTGTGGAGGGAAATGATATTTATTAATAGTTGAGGGGGTTTTTGGTATAATTAACCCTAAAAATTTTATTGGAAAAAAAATTAGACTATTCTTCAAAAAAGAGCGTATGACTTCTCGCTCGAGCGAAGAACAAACCAGACTGCTCGAGCGAAGAAAGCTCGCTCGAGCCAAGAAATGCAACTCTCAGGTCCAGAACCAGACGCAATCGCTCGCTCGAGCGAAGCCACTCTGGCTCGATCCACCAGACACGAACTCAACTCTCGCTCGAGCGACCAACTCCTCGCTCGAGTGAAGAACAAACCAGACCGGTCGAGCGAAGAAAGCTCGCTCGAGCCAAGAAATGCAACTCTCAGGTCCAGAACCAGACGCAATCGCTCGCTCGAGCGAAGCCACTCTGGCTCGATCCACCAGACACGAACTCAACTCTCGCTCGAGCGACCAACTCCTCGCTCGAGCGAAGGTCCAAAAATCTGGGCAGCAGCACTAGGCTCCCAAACACAACCAACCTGTAACAAACCTGCCCAACACATCCTATAACTCAATATACAAAGTAGTAATAGATGTAAACACGACAATAGTCAATTTCTATCACCCACGGACACATGTCCGGATCACTGTACAACAAGGGTAAAACCGGGATCGCTATAGTCCCATTAAAGTGGAAATTAAATAAAATGGTAGTCACTTACATGTTTTGGTTTAATTTTTTAGGGATAAAAGTGATTTTCTCAAAATGTAAAATTACACATTTGGGCAATTTGAACTATAGAAGTTTTGGATTTTTCCACATTCTAGAACAAATCCCACATTATGAACAAAAACCTAACACTCTAATGTAGCACTCTAATAACGTAACACTTCAATGTAACACACTAAAAAACTCATTGGTGTATTTTTCCCAATCGTAACAACGTAGCACTCAAAAAAAATTCTTTAGTGTATTTTTTCCAAACATAACGCTCCAATGTAAAATATATATATATATATATATATAAATTCTTAGTATATTTTTCTCAAACGTAACATTATAATGTAACATACTCCAATGTAACACACAAAAACATTAAAAAAAAAACTCCTTAGTGTACTTTTTTTTTCAAACGTCACACTCACAATTTGAAATTATATATTTGTTCAAAACTTACTAATGAATATTTGTACTTATTTTGGAATGGTTTGAAGAACATCACATTTTTTTTTATAGTGTTACATTGGAGTTTTATGTTTAGGAAAAATACACTAAGAATTTTTTTTTTTTGTTACATTGGAGTATTACATTTGAAAATTTTGGAAAAAGTGCACCAAAGAATTTTTATGTGTGTTACATTAAAGTGGTACACTAAGGATGTAACGCCCTCAAAAAAAAAAAAAACATATAAACCAATCATTCATGACATCCATAGACATAAGAGAATAAAACATCTTTTCATTTATCAGAGTATTCAGTACAAATATTACATGTTGACAACAAAAGTAAATGCCCCACGGGCTTACAACTTTCCAAGTAACACTTGGTTGCAACAAAAGAGAGTTTTAACTTTTAACATATTAAGCCCTTGGCTTGAAGTACATGTAATAGAAAAAGGTAACTACAAAAATAAGCCTTCAGCTTCTAAACCTCCCAAGCTACATCCTTGGAGACGGCATATCACCTGTACCTGAAAATGATATCCCATATAGGGTGAACCAAAACCCAGTAGAGATACGCTAAACATAATATGAGAATTAACTAAAACATTAGCATTTGATAAATGTTTAGCCCATATAAACCAACGTACACCTCTTCCATAACCAATTCATATTCACAGCCACATTTTAATCCTTTTCCGTTTCATTATCCAATCTAATTCATAGATATGGTTCATTGTTTATCCGAACAGTTCAAAATGAGACTACAAATCATACTATCAACACTTCAAGCATAATCAATTCAAAATGAGACTACAACTCATATTATTAACATTTCAATACTTCAATTCACCTACGTTATACAAACGTAATTAAGATTTCGGGACTTTCACCCTGGACACTCCGGCCAACTTAGTTATCAATGGAGTCCATCCCCTATCTCCTCCCAAACAGGTTTGAGAGTACATCCCCTTTCTCCTCCCAAACCATGGAGTACATCCCCTATCTCCTTCCAAACATGATACATATACAATGTATTTAAACGCTTTATCATACATAATGATCAATCCAGGCACATATTCAATGTGTTAATTCAACAGTCATATTCAATGACATAACTCAATTGATTAGTTTTAATTCACCTGATCATCATACAGTGTCTACAACAATCAAGACTATCATCCATCGATAGCCCAAAGCAGTTATTTCTAAACAGATAAATAAATATATCAAACAGATAAATTATCAACATTTTCATAGGTGAGTGATTAATCAATCCAACTACACCATTCATTCTCATAACTTCCCAATTTCATAACTTTCAACTCAATTTCATATTTCCATAACTTTCCCAAATTAATTATACAAATTAATTATTCAATTTCAATTAGGGCTTTAATTTCCCTATTCTCAAACATTGCCCCCAAGGCCAATTTAACTCATATTACCTAAACAACCCCAATTTCAAGTTTTATATACATATAAGTTCAAACATGGAAAACCCCTCTTTCAATATTTCAAGTTTCAAACCCTAACTTCTAAAACTCCCAAACAATACCATCTATACAAAATACCCAACGTTTATGTCACTCATAGAAAGAAGTAGATTATCCCTACCTCAAGTTTCGGAGCTCAAAGGAGAAGAAGGAAGAAACTCAAAGTGCTCCAAATCCAACCTTTTTCGGATCAAAGTGTAGCCCAAGCATAGCTCTACCTTTTCTTCAAAGAGAGTAGGGTAGAGACACCCAAGAACTAAGTGTATTTCTAGAAAGAAGGTGTATGTAGAGAGAGAGCGTATAGGATCTAGGGTTTGAAGGAAGAAGAGAGTAAAAAAGTGTGCAAAAACACGCTGCTATGAACTGATATACTCGAGGCTCGCTTGAGCGAAAGAGTGATCGCTCGAGCGACCAAACACAAAAGAACCTCGCTCAAGCGCAAGAAGCACGCTCGAGTGCAAGAGTGCTCGCTTGAGCGAAGAAACTCAAAACATAGTCCTCGCTCGCTTGAGTGAAAGAAAGCTCACTCGAGCAAAGAAACACAACCTTCAGGTCAAAAAGAAACGCAGGCGCACGCTCGAGCGCAAGAATGCTCGCTCGAGCCAAGAGACACACCACTCAAAGCTCGATCGAGCGAAGGAATCCTGGCTCGAGCAAGGAACTAAAACCCAAAGCTCGCTTGAGCGACAAAAGCCTCGCTCGAGCGAAGTAATCAAAATCTGGGCAGCAACTATTTATTTCAAATCACATCCAACTTGTTTCAAACCTACCCAACACATCCCTAAACTCAAATACAAAGAATTTAAGGACAGAGATAAGATAAAGACAACAACAACCATGACGGAACCCAAGTCCGAAATACAATAAACAATAGAGGGGAAACCGGGATCGCTATAAAGGAATTTTTTTGAAGTGTTATATTGAAGTGTTACGTTTAGAAAAAATACACTAAGGAGTTTTTTTGTGTGTTATATTAGAATGTTACACTAAAGAGTTTTTGTGTGTTGTATTAGAGTGTTACACTAAGGATTTTTTTAGAGTATTATATTAGAGTGTTACATAATGTACATCAAGAAGTTTTTTTGTATGTTACATTAGAGTGTTACACTAAGGAGTTTTTGTGTGTGTTACATTAGAGTGTTACACTAAGGAGTTTTTGTGTGTGTTACATTAGAGTGTTACACTAAGGAGTTTTTGTGTGTGTTACATTAGAGTGTTACACTAAGGAGTTTTTGTGTGTGTTACATTAGAGTGTTACACTAAGGAGTTTTTGTGTGTGTTACATTAGAGTGTTACACTAAGGAGTTTTTGTGTGTGTTACATTAAGTGTTATATTGGAGTGTTACGTTTGAAAAAACTATAGTAAAGGATTTTTTTTATGTATTACATTAGCGTTATGTTTGGATGTCAATTAATGTCAATGTTACAATAGGGACGAACACCACAAAAAAAAGAAAAAAAAAACGAACACCGCACCAATAACATCACAAACGAGGTAACATCATAAACCTACAAATCACTCCACTAAATCTCCACAAAAAAAATAGAAACGTAAAAACCTACCTTACCCACGCATACCCATCATTAGGAAAAAATTCAAACAAAATCAGACACAAAGGCAAACAAGTAAACTTTCAAACTCCAAATTAAGGAAATACAACATACCCAAAATAAAAAGGACTAATTGGTTTGAAAGAAAACTTCTAGGATTAAATGGAATAACTTTTCCCCAAATGGGATTTA